TTGATTAGTTCCCGAACTCCAGGTCCCCAGGATGAGCTCATAAAAACGTAATACTCCAACTCAGACAGGAAATAAGCTTAGCAAATGGAATCCGAATGGTTCGGATCAACATTCCTTCGGCCTGCATCAGCTTATTACGCTCCGTAATGAGCGTTCCCAGCTGCATTGCTGCAGCCTATTTGCCAATTAAATGAAATTAAAGTCATATCTGGCAATTGCCGTCGAGCGCCGACGCGTCATTTCTTCTGGGACTGATGAGGTGTCGCCAGCGGGACGAGCAATTAACCCTATGGTTACCCCAAACCCCCCAACCCCAATCCCATCTCTATGCCACATCCAAAGACCGAAGACCGAAGACCAGAGAGCAGACTCTTCTAATTAAATTGTGGTGGCCACTTTTTAATTAAGGCAATGCTGAATGCTGAATGCTGCACACTGGCAGGCATCCAACTTTTGTGGCACTGCAACGTTTCATTGGTAAAACAGCGCCCAACGAATGCTAATATCAAATCAAGAAAAGTCGAGTTAATTAAAGCAATATTAAAAATATTTGTGATAGGAAAAGTTCATTAAATAGCTTGTGCAGCATTTAAACTAATATACTACTTGCTGAATATTATTCTTTCATAAATTCCCTTCGTTGCTAAACATTCATAAGCTTCTTTACTTTGAAATAAATAATAGTTTTCCCCAGAAGTTGCCCCGTTGTGACTGCAATTCCGCAATGATTCAGTGACCCATAAGCAGGGACATTGTTATTGAGTTTGTGGAGCCATTGTGGCCCTTCCTTGGTCACCAAAAGCGAAAGGAGACTGCAATTAAGTGCTTATAAATTTCGTATTTTTACGATCGCTGGCCTTATAAAAAGCTCACTCTATGGTCACGGCAACAGTCACAGCTGCCAAAGGAGCAGCCAAAAGCAATTCAGCTGCGCTCAAAGGCATAAAATGGCTCGATTTATATCCATGTGTTCGAACTGGTGTAAAATATGAGCAAAAAATAATTCTTGTAAAAAAATGGGGATACCCGCTGGTTTTCTATTGCTAATTAGCCATGACATTGCATCGCTCGGGGCGATGAACAGTTCTACACGGAAAGAAATATATATAAATATATATTTACTTCAATAATAATTCTCACTATTTACCCTTCCTCCTGTCTTCGTGTAAAACCGGAATGGAAACCCTTCAGCTTCAGTAGAGCGCCCTTGGCCAATGGCTTATCTTAATTTTTGCATTTAATAACCGCATTGGGGCCGAAACGAGCCGGCAAACTGCCACCGTTGGTTGGCCAGTTGGGACGATCGCAACGGGCGGCCATTAAGCTTAATATAGCCAAGTAAATTCTTGGCCAACTATGCCGAGGTGTGAAGAAAAGTGTCGACTTGTTAAGCCGGGGCCACAGCGGGCACAGACAGATAGCCACCACCACCACACCACCTCTGGACGGGATGGGATCGCCTGAGCCGCGGACATTTCTTGGAAACAACGCGCGCGATTCGTGGAAGCAATAAATAAGGAGGCGGTGGAGGAGGTGGAGAAGTTGGCCAGCGGCATTGTCCTTCATGTGTTTCGTGGCGTAATAAATTTTATTTATTTCGCCTTTTTTCTTCCTCTTTTTGCTGCACAAGGATATGGCGAAAAAAGGGCCGACGGTCCAGAGAACCGCCACCCTGTCGCACTCAATTAGCAAACGCGAGTCGCACGCGTTTTCGTTTTTTTTTTCTGTTGCGGCAAAATCCGTTTGATTTCCTCCGCTGACTTTACGATCTTCGTGCGGTTTCCTTGTTGAGGCAAATTAACTAGACTTGTCCCAGCCACCTACCCACCACCACCTACCGATCTCCATTTGCCCCGAAAATAAATAGCTACTCTTACTGGCTGTCAACACTCGGCTTTGTCTACGCTGACAAAATCCCGACAAACAATAGGTGGAAAATAATATACAAGTTGCCTATAAAGTGCCTGCTTAAACTTTGATGAGCTTAGACCCATAAACATCATAATGGTAGCTGCTCTATAAAACAAAAAATACGAAGCCAAGCGGCATAAAGCTGGAATTAAAACCCAACGCGTGAAAGCAAATTCAATTTGTGCGATTCAACCGAAGTCTGGGTACACTTTATGGTCAAGAGCCATTCGAGGCGGTAGTTAAACCGAAATTTGCCTTTTTAATTAGTTCAGGCAGCTAAAACTTAATTAAACTTAAAGTGGAAGTAATACGCAAAGCGGTGCGTGGCACATAAAACTAATGCAGCCTGATTTAATTCTGAAGAAAGATTCAAAATGGAGGTAGGTATTTCTATTTCAGGTCAAGGAAATAAATATTTGGCATTTATTTAATTTTGTATATATTTTACTCTTTTTATTGACAAGTCAACCAATAGTTGTATTAGAAATCACTTGATTTTCAGACACCTTGAAGTGTATAAATTGATTACGGCAAACTTTTTTTGATATTCATATTTAAATCGCTTTAAAATCGCATCAAAACCGAATGGGCAGTTGAAATGCTTCGGTTCCATTCCGCTTCCATTTCGAATCGTCGCAGATGGTCGCGCATAAACTCGGTTGTTTATGGGTCTAAGCGGCTTTGGCTGTGGCTCTTAGTCCGGCTTTCCTGGCTGAGTAACTCCGTTTGTGCCCCGGTTTCGTGCCTCCGCATCTCCGCCTTCTTTTTTTGTATTTTTTTGCGGGGCTGCGTGACCAGGTATTTTCAGCCATCGGCCATCGGACGTCGGCCATCGGCAATGTCTAATCCATGGCAATTAATTACATCGTTACACGCGCTGCCGCCAAACAACTTAATACAACATAAATAATTGTCAAAATGCTCGACCACAGACGCGCGAATTAGTCTTCATTATGTCAATAAATCTTGGCCAATTGCCACACCGGATCATGCAACATCCAAACGGGAGTCTATATATCTTTATGCACCTGCCACTCGGCAACATTGTAACTCGAGCTGGATCTCGACCAATTTTCTTATCAATGGGTGTTAGAGAAAACAAAACGTTTCAGACTTTTTTTGCTTATTTAAAAAAAAAACCCCAGCTCAGTTGAGTATGTTCCTTAGCAATTTGCAAGTGATTATGCACTTAAAATGGCAACTTTTTATCTCACGGGAAATGCCAATTGCCTTATTGATGGACACTCTATATAAGAGGCTGACGCCCAAGTTGGTCTATGATCGTCGGGAAAGATGATTATGGTCATGACAAGTTAATGACGAACGCAGCTCGGCCTGGGAACCCGATCCCATCCGATTCGATCCCAAAAGCGAGCCCTCGTGTGGAAACCCCTCAAGTTTTAACCGGTGACCGAAAAACGAGACTGGCTGGTGAATTTGCATAAAAATCCGTGGTATCCCCCGCCTCCTTCAGGTGACATTAACAAGCCGCAAAAAAGGAAGCAGCAGCAGCCACTGTGATACGACCAAATTTTAATTAAAAGTTTAGTGGAGCGAGAGACACACGCCAACGACAACGGCTGAAACACAGCAGCAACATCAACACTAAAAGGCAACCCAAGAACCACAAAGCTGCACAATGGGCAATAAATCTTGTTTCTTGCTCAAATACCTAATAAAAGTTCTATATATTTGGTAACTATAAAAAGCTTGAACTAGTTAATAAACCAATTTAAAAGAACTTTCTTGTCTTTCCTAAAAATAAAGTTATTTATTGTTAAGGTGATATCTCTTAAATGTATTATCAAAATGAATCATTTTTCCCACAGTATCCTGACAGCAGCAGCAAGCTGAGATCTTTGGGGCACAGCGACCGCAAAAGGTTGCTGGGGCAGAGTGCCGTGCAACAAGTGTCAGGCCATGCAACATGGCTAACAAGCGTCGCCTGTTCGTCGCCGCCGTCGTCTGCTGTCAGCGATACACGCAAAAAAAAAAGAGGAGGAAATCACACACAAATGGAAACTGCGAATCACACACAACGGGGACGACGAGGTGTTAAAGTAAATATGCGAGCGCTTACAACAAATTTTACATGCCGCTGCAATAATTGAAAAATCATGTTGCCGCACACACAAAATGTTGCTGCGCCCGAGCAACATGTTGCTACATGACTTTGTGCTTAGCCAGAAATTCAACCAGTAAGGTCAGCACTAAAAACATGAATATTTCTGCAAAAAGGTGGAAAATTTGTATATGCTACAGAGCTAAAGGAATGCGGCAGAAAGGAGTGTAAGGTAAGCTGAATAAGGTCAATAACCTTAGTCCTTCTTAATTTTAAAGTCTGCTCAAACTAAGGACATTTCCCAAGTAACTGAGCTTTTTGTTATCTTAGCAATTTTCTTCCCAGCGGATTGCGGATGTGCATCGGATCACCTCTGGTTTGCCTCAGTTGCAGCTGGGGTTTTTGCTGCGGGTTACGATGCCCTAAAAGAATCGCAAACCGCGAGGAGAATCACGTACATAAATAAATAAATACGCAGGCGTATTGTGTTTGTATATTCACGCCGCAGCGGAAGCTGCAACAGTAGCGGCAGCAACAGCAACGGCAACAGCAACATTCAACGCCAGCGGTTTGAGAAACAACAAACAAACATTCAAGCCGCCACCACAATGTTGTGTTAGTGTTGCTGTTGTTGTTGTTGTTGTTTTTTGTTGTTGTTCATTGTTGGTTTTTGTGAGCAATGCCGCTGCTGCAATTGCCACTGATCGCGTCGATTCAATTAGTAATTCTAAAAAGGCGGCAAGCGACGTCTTTTGCATCCTAATGAGTGTGGAGCAGTTGCAGTTACTGTTGCTCCTGTGCCGCAGCAGCAGCAGCAACACATGCAGCATGTTGCCGCTGCAATAACATTTGTTCATAACAACAAGAAACAGAAGAGCAAACAGACAGACAGGGCCAGTTTTTCCATCCAATTGTGCCGGCACAGCACTTTTCATGCCCAAATGCAGTTTGTGATTGCTGCTGTGGCTGTTTGCTGTTGCTGTTGCTACTACGGCTGCTGCTGCTGTGAATGCAACAGCAACTGTTGCTGCTGCTGCTGCATTGACTATTTTTGTCATCCACGTCCACGCACTGGTCGTGCAACATGTTTGCGCGTTCATCTCCGGCTCCGGAGCTCCTGCCTTTTCCACAGAAAATGTAATTACTGTGATTTAATTTTTTTCCACATTTACTTCTATTGCTAAAGTTGCAACTTGGGGCTTGGGGCTGCTGCACTTGGCCAGATTGCAACTGCCAGTGGCATTGCCATTTCTGCGCGCGCATTACAAACTTGGCTCAAATTAATTCTTTGAGCCCAAATGCGATCTGGCCAAGCTGCAGCTAATCAAACTTTAATCAATGCGGCATTTTGATGCGACATTGCTCGTTTCCTTTTTTTTCCAGCAGCCAGTTCCATAGTTGGTTCGATGGATCGTCGGATCGATGGGAAAATATGTCGCTTGGCCGGCGAGCAAATCTGTGTACGGCAATGGCTAGAAATTGTTATTAATCTGGAATGGTCCATATGGGGAAATAAAACGATCGTAAACCTGGTTTGAGTATTTCAAATGCTTATCTAACAATTTCGATATCTGCTAAGTGCTGCAATCAATTATAATTCGTTTTTGATTGCAACTAGCCAGCTAATGGATAATTTCTTTGGTAGTCATAGGACTATTCAATAAAGCAAATATCTAAATTTATTTTTTATCATAATGTCAATGGTAGTTCCAACTGGTTTTAATTGCTATACTTTTTTCCTCACAAGCACAGATAATATATATTTTCAGTGTTAGATTATATATATTGTATGGTTTTCAGTATCGATAGCATCAATAAAAATAAAAACGTTTCTACTCAACCGTATCGCTTTAAATTTCAAAGCATGACATTAGTATTGATATGCATTAGCATGCCATTTCGGTAATTATTAGTAATTTATGACAGTCTAAAAGGTTTACTATAGAAATATGACGTGTTTAAGTGCTTTATTAAAAACATTTTCGGTTTAAGTTTACAGATTAGATCCGCTTTTAAGCTTTGAACTCAAAAAAACTGAGTTCTAGTATTGTAATACTTGCTAAAATTTTATATATAGTATACATATGTGCCAATTGATCTTTGACATATTTATAATCGCGTGTAATACGAAAAACGTGCAAGTTAAATAAGATAAGAATCTTTATGATCGAATGATTTATACCGACTACAAAAATAATACCGTTTAGCTTGAATGTTCTAAAATTCATCCTTGGATATTTTTATCTGAAATTTTGATTAACCAAAAATAACCAACCTAAAAATAAATATCGAAACAATAATTAAACCCCCTGGAAGCCAATTGAAAATAAGCCAACCATTAAACGTACTGATAACGAAAAGCTGTTTCTAGATTGTTATTGTTTTGAACTGTGGTATATAGTATAAACAAGTGATGATTATGATTATCGGCATGAGTCTTAATGCAAAAGTTTTGTAAAAGCTCAGTGACGGCGAAAATTCCGGGTAGAACGGATCAACCAAAGAACATTCAAATATGTGGATCGCTTTGCTGGGAACCCCACTTCTTTTGGTGGCCATTTGGGTCCTCCTAAAACATCTAAATAAAACGTATTTTGTTCTCTCATTATGTAAACGAGTGCAAACAGAGGATGGCAGTCCATTGGAGAGCAAAGTGGCCATAATGCCAGGAAAAACAAGATTCGGCAACAACTTGGATATTCTCAACTTTACACCTTGTAGGTAAAACCTTTCTTAGAATTTCTAACCTTTTATTTGAATGATTTTTGATTTTAGCAAGTGTTTTTAACTTTGTACGAGAGTCCACTGCCAAAGCAAAAGGTCAGAATTTTCTGTGGTATTTCTTATTCGCTCCCATGTACAATGTCGTTCGGGCCGAGGAAGCTGAGGAGATTTTTCAGAGCACCAAGCTGATAACCAAGAACGTGGTCTACGAACTGATTAGACCGTTCCTGGGAGACGGCCTTCTGATTAGCACAGGTGAGTCATAATATTTTGGGTGTTTTCTTGATTTAACCAATTAGCCAATCAATTTTAGACCATAAATGGCACTCCAGAAGGAAAGCTTTGACGCCAGCCTTTCATTTCAATGTTTTGCAATCTTTCCTGGCCATTTTCAAGTGAGTATGGATTAATTAAGTTATAATTATATTTCTAGCTAACTTCATTTTAATTGCAGAGAAGAGTGTAATAAGTTCATCAAAGTTTTGGATAAGAATTTAGATGGCGAACTGGATCTTAACCAAGTTATCCCCCAATTTACTTTAAATAACATTTGCGGTGAGCTTAAATACTTACTTTCAGTTTTATTTATTGATTAATTTATTTTTATATAGAAACTGCTTTGGGCGTAAAGTTGGATGACATGTCGGAGGGTAATGAATATAGAAAGGCAATTCACTCCATCGAAGAAGTTCTGATACAACGCGTGTGCAATCCTCTGATGTATTACAACTGGTATTTCTTCCTTTACGGAGATTACCGCAAGCACTCGGACAATCTTAAGATAGTTCACGACTTCTCAAGTCGGATTATCCAACGCAGAAGGCAGCAGTTCAAGCAAAAGAAACTTGAAGAAGTGGATGAATTTGGCAAGAAGCAAAGGTATGCGATGTTGGATACTCTTTTAGCAGCCGAAGCAGAAGGTCAAATCGACCATCAGGGAATCTGCGATGAGGTCAACACCTTTATGTTCGAGGGATACGACACCACCTCAACCTGTCTGATTTTCACCCTGCTCATGTTGGCTCTTCACGAGGATGTCCAACAGAAATGTTTTGAGGAAGTGGAAAACCTTCCCGAGGACAGCGACGAGATCACAGTTTTCCAGTTTAACGAACTGGTTTACTTGGAGTGTGTGATCAAGGAATCTCTGAGGATGTTCCCCTCAGTTCCATTTATTGGTCGTGAGTGCGTGGAGGAGTGTGTGGTGAATGGAATGGTTATGCCCAAGCTGACCCAAATCAGCCTCCACATCTACGACATCATGAGGGATCCCCGTCACTTCCCCAAACCAAATAAGTTTGATCCAGATAGATTTCTCCCAGAGAACACCGTGAATCGTCATCCTTTCGCCTTTGTGCCTTTTAGTGCAGGTCAAAGGAATTGCATAGGTCAAAAGTTCGCCATCCTGGAGATAAAGGTTCTCCTAGCTGCAGTTATCAGGAATTTCAAGCTGATTCCCGCCACTCTTTTGGAGGATCTCACATTTGAGAACGGAATCGTACTGCGTACCCAGGAGAATATTAAAGTGAAATTGGTGAAAAGAGTCAAATAGTGACATAAAAAACTGAAGAAAAATGTTTACCAAAGATGTCTTATTTTGAGAAATGTTAAAACAAAATAAAGTCAGCAAATGTTTTCCTGTAATTGATAAAAAATGTGCTGGCTTTGTCTTAGTTCCTGATTAAAAGTAAGTAAGCAAGTAAGTAAATATTTTAAGTCAAGACAATGTGTTAACAGTTTTAATTATCCTGGGCACGTTAAATTGAATTAATAGCTTGATAAATTGTTATATTACAATCAATAATCAATCAATAATAATAAATATTACAATCAATATTGACTAGTTTATTCTTTTTATTGAAAAAAAAGGTATTTTGCGATTGAAGCGATCATCAAGACTAAGTTAAAACAAGTTTATAATCTTTCTAAAGCAAACGAATATGCCTTTGCATGCCGTGTGAACACGTGTTATACTAAGTGCAAATAATAATCACATGGCAAAATTATTTTTATTCCAATCATTTTAAATCTCCATTAATAGATCAGAGCTCAATCTGTGAGGTACTCACAGCTCAGAACGGAACAATTTTTTAGAACAGAAATGATTTTTGAGATCCTGATTTTAGTTCCATTACTTGCTTTGTTTATTTGCAAATGTTATAACCACTTCAATAAAGATTACTACATACTAAGCTTGTGTAAAAGACTTCGCACTGAAGATGGAAGCCCTCTTGAGGACAGGATTTATATAACGCCAACGAAAACCAGATACGGAAACAACTTTGACTTGGTGAGCTTCACCCCCAGTAAGTAAAAAAAAGTGGATTGCAACCAAACAATTACCTGACATTGTTAAATATTTATTAGCCAGCATATTCAACTTTATGAGAAATGCTTCTGCGGAAGGCAAAGGTCGGAATTATCTGTGGTATTTTTTTCGTGCACCAATGTATAATGTTGTGAGGGCAGAAGAAGCCGAGGAGATATTTCAAAATCCCAAGCTTATCACCAAAAATATGGTCTATGAGCTTCTGAGACCATTCTTGGGAGAGGGACTGCTGATTAGCACAGGTGAGAATAGTTAGTTCTATATAGTATTTGATTTTAATCAATATTTTTTCAATTATAGATCAAAAATGGCACTCGAGAAGAAAGGCATTGACTCCCGCTTTTCATTTCAATATCTTACAATCTTTTATGGTCATATTCAAGTACGTTTTTTGTTTAAGAAAAATTACAAATTTATATACTTTGTTGAATTTTTAGGGAAGAGTGCGATAAACTCGTGAAGGTCCTTCATCAAAGTGTGGATAAGGAATTACAGCTGAACGATGTTATTTCTCAATTTACTCTAAACAATGTTTGCGGTGAGTAATGTATTATCAATCATTTAAATCGCACGCTTTAAAAACCAATATAATCATGACTTGTAGAAATTTGTATATAAATTATTCTTATCAACCTCAGCTCACGCCCAAAACAAAAATCTAAATATTATAAGCTAGCATTTGTAATCAGTACAAATCAAACTAATTGAACGTTCACTTTATAAATGAGTAATTATTTGTTATAGAAACTGCACTTGGCGTAAAACTAGATGATACTACAGATGGCTTGAGATATCGACAGTCGATTCACAATATTGAAGCAGTCATGCAGCAACGCCTTTGTAATCCCTTCTTCTATAACGCTGTGTATTTCTATCTGTACGGAGACTATAGAAAGCAGATGGATAATCTGAAAATAGCCCACGACTTTTCCAATCGCATTATCGAGAAGAGGAGGAGTCTCTACAAGAGCAAGCAACTTGACCAAGTTGACGAATTTGGCAAGAAGCAAAGATATGCGATGTTGGATACTCTTCTAGCAGCCGAAGCAGAAGGTCAAATCGATCATCAGGGAATCTGCGATGAGGTCAACACCTTTATGTTCGAGGGATACGATACCACTTCAACCTGTCTTATTTTTACCTTGCTAATGTTAGCTCTACATGAAGATATCCAAAGGAAATGTCATGAGGAGATTGAACATCTCCCCGAGAACAGCGACGAAATCACTGTATTTCAGTTCAATGAACTTGTGTACTTGGAATGCGTGATCAAGGAGTCTTTAAGGTTGTTCCCCTCCGTTCCCATTATTGGACGTAGATGCGTGGAGGAGGGAGTGGTGAATGGTTTAATCGTGCCCAAGGATACGCAAATCAACATTCACATCTACGACATCATGAGGGATCCTCGGCACTTTCCAAACCCAACAACATTCCAACCAGATCGCTTTCTTCCCGAAAATACAGTGGATCGTCACCCTTTTGCATTTGTTCCTTTTAGTGCTGGTCAAAGGAATTGCATAGGACAGAAGTTTGCAATCCTGGAAATCAAAGTTCTTTTGACTGCAATTATCAGGAATTTTAAGATATTACCCATTACCTATCTTGAAGACCTCATCTTTGAGAATGGAATAGTACTACGCACCCAACAAAATGTCAAGGTTAAATTGATGCGTAGGGAAGGGAACTAATCATGTTTATTGTTTAATGCATTTTTTTTTTTTTTTTTTTTCTATTAGTTAAGCAGTTAGTCTGGTAAAACAAACTCATATAGTCCCCTTATCAAAAATACTTCGTTAGCTTTATTGTAATACAACCAATACAACCTTAAATACAATTATTGGAAATAAAAAACCATAAAACATTGTGATAACAAAAAGCTATTGGTTAATTAAAATTGTGTTTATATAGTTTATGCCAAAGCTCAGTGAGCTTCGAATTTCGCTACAGAAAGGTTCGCCCGGAAAAATCAGCAAAGAAATGTGGATCGCTTTGCTGGGAACTTTTCTTTTGTTTACCTGGCTTTTGCTTAAACAAGTTAATAAAACGTACTTTATACTCTCATTATGTAAACGAGTGCGGACGGCAGATGGCAGTCCATTGGAGAGCAAAGTGTTCGTAACTCCGGGAAAAACGCGGTTTGGAAATAATTTCGATATTCTAAACTTTACGCCAGGTAGGTAATAAATTGTTAATATAAATAATTAATTGACTAAATGTTATTGCAGCAAGTCTTTTTACATTTTTACGAGAGTCCGCTGCCAAAGCTAAGGGTCAAAATTATCTGTGGTATTTTCTATTTGCTACCGAGTACAATGTGGTTCGAGCGGAAGAAGCTGAAGAGATATTCCAGAGCACCACGCTTTTGTCCAAGAACATGGTTTACGACATGATGAAGCCATTTTTAGGTGATGGCCTACTGATAAGCAAAGGTGAATAAACTTATTTAAAGATAAATTGTATGTTATCAAACTTTTTTTTAGACCGTAAATGGCATTCACGAAGAAAAACTTTGACACCTGCTTTCCACTTCAATGTTCTTCAATCGTTTCTTTCTATTTTTAAGTGAGTTGTTGATATTATGATACCATATTTGCAATAAGGGTTATTTGTTTTTAGAGAAGAGTGCAAAAAATTAATCGAAGTTGTGGGTCAAAGTGCAGGTGACGAGCTGAACTTAAACCAGGTTATTCCACAGTTTACGTTAAATAATATATGTGGTAAGCTGAATTATTTTGTTAATTTTTAATTTAATTTTTAAAAATCGTTTGCAGAAACCGCATTAGGTGTAAAATTGGATGATATGTCTGAAGGCAATGAATATAGAGAGGCCATCCACTCCCTCGAAGACATTTTGATACAACGCGTGTGCAATCCACTGATGTATTACGACTGGTATTTCTTCCTGTACGGAGATTATCGCAAGCATTCTGAGAAACTTCGGATAGTTCATGATTTCTCAAGTCGGATTATCCAACGCAAAAGGCAGCAGTTCAAGCAAAAACAACTTGGACAAGTGGATGAGTTTGGCAAGAAGCAAAGGTACGCGATGTTGGATACTCTTTTAGCAGCCGAAGCAGAAGGTCAGATCGATCATCAGGGAATCTGCGATGAGGTCAACACCTTTATGTTTGGAGGATATGACACCACATCCACCTGCTTAGTCTTCACTCTGCTCATGTTGTCCCTGCATGAGGATGTTCAAATGAAATGTTTTGAGGAGATCCAAACTCTTCCCGAGGACATTAATGAGATCACTGTGTTCCAGTTAAACGAACTTGTCTTTTTGGAGTGTGTGATTAAGGAATCGCTGAGGATGTTTCCACCAGTTCCTGTCATTGGACGCGAATGCATGGAGGAGTGTGTGGTAAATGGATTGGTCCTGCCCAAAGGCACCCAAGTCAGCATCTCCATATACGACATTATGAAGGATCCCCGCCACTTCCCCAAACCAAATCAATTCCAACCCAAAAGATTTCTGCCTGAAAACACTGTGAATCGTCATCCATTTGCCTTTGTGCCTTTTAGTGCAGGTCAAAGGAATTGCATTGGACAAAAATTCGCAATCCTCGAGATAAAGTTACTCCTGGCTACAGTTATCAGGAATTATAAGTTGCTTCCCATTACTCAGTTGGAGAATCTTACTTTTGAGAACGGAATTGTACTGCGTACCAAGCAAAATATCAAAGTGAAATTAGCTAAAAGGTCAAAGGGTGATCAATAAAACTATTTTATTTCTTTTATTTCCCCTTACATTTTTTACATGTTCTTTAAACTTTCAAACTTTCAAACTTTCGTTCTACAAATTCTTAACGAATATTTTGACACAGTTCCTTACTTAGCAGATTAAAGCATCCGAAAAGTATGCTATACCTTAAACTTTAATTTTATACATTTATTTTCCATCAGTTTCGGTAACATGGTACAGAAAGATAAAGGTAAACTTATCCTTATTTAGTACAAGCCTGTATTTTATGGTTAATATATTTTTTAGTTTCCTCATGTTGTTGCTATAAAAACAATAACAAAACCCACTTAGTTTCCTTTGCTGCAATCATTTTTACCGTTAACAATGTATTTATCAATAGTTATTTATAGAACCCATACGAAATCAGATGCACTTGCAGAAATAAGTTTTCAATGAGTTTTTAATGCCAATCCGGTGAGTAATTGAACTATTTCCAATCAGAATTGCACTGCAATGCCTGTTGCTCGGGTACCTAAAGTTCCCCAACTTCTCTGAAATTTGACATAAGAAAAAAAACATAAACAAACACACGTGGATTTCTATTGTTTATCTAAACAAACTTTACAATTCGTGGTAAAATATGGTTTAAACAATTAAACGGGAAATGGTGTTCTTGGCATTTTTGGCTCTATAAATTCTTGGCTTTGGAAGCCGCTTAATGATTTTTCTTGGTCGATTTTTGGGTGGCATTCAGAGACCTCTATTACAGCACCGTTTCGCTGGCAAATGCTTAATTAAATTATATTTTTCCATTTTGCGCATCGAATAACAAAACAAACCGCACTCACACACACAAACAGTCACATGCACTAGAGGTGCACCAAACACACACACGTACGCGCGCACCAGGGAAACTGCTTGTCCTTTAGTTTTTCGGGCTTTCCAGCTTTGTTTAACTTAAGTTGCTTCACTACAGCTTTCACTCACCAGTTGCTAAATGCACAAAAAACACTTTTACACCGAAAACTAACAAAAAACAAAACATTTTTTTCCAATTCGCGTCAGTGTTGCCAGATTTTTGATTTGTCCCGAAATGCTAGCGACCACCATAAACAACCTAAAAAATCCAGTTCTGTCTAAGTGGCATCACCGGGCTAGAAATTTTCTGGCACCCATTAGGCGGTTTGAAACTAAGATTACGGCTGTTACAAAAACGCGGTTTTACTGCTGTTTTTAAAATTTAAATTTGAGTCCTCACAGAATTAAAATTACTTGTTGTAGTTGATTTTTTTAATAAATGTATATTTGGTTTTTTTGGTTGTATTAATCTTTTATACTTTTAAAAAGTAAGCTTTACATATTTTGATCGAAGGTATTGATTGAAGCACTGATGACCACACATCAAAGTGAATCGAGTGGCAAGTAACTAAATCGAGGTTTTTACATATAAATATAGTGAGTTATTGGGACGAAGAGGTTTAACAAAAAATAGCATTTGCAAAAGCAATATCGAAAGAAATTGGCTAACTTAAATCGCAATTTAAATACATAAGTTTTTTTTACAGGTCTTTTGTCGTTACATAATATATAGTAATATCATAGATCATTTGTTTTTTTCGTTTGATTTCACTTCATCTACCAATAAAATTAACAACAATTCCGATGCATTTGGTTGGGCACGTGGTAAACATTGATAAACGTGCTCGCCTACTCAGACGCATAACAAATTTAAAATACTGTTTCATCTAATATAATTCATTTACGATACCTATTTCCGTAGTCAATTAGTAAGGTCAACATTGCAGTGAGACATGAACGAACTTTCATATGTGGGAATTTCGCCCATATAAATATGCCTGGTTTGTTTTAGTTTTTCCGTTCATACATTTGTATGTATGTAAGTTTGCTAGTTAGTCGATTACTAGTTAATTGTTACACTAATGTGGATTGTTCCTTTTTGCGCGTGGGTGAGTTTAAGTTCAAGTTAACGTTTAGGCTCAAAGTCAAGTGAGTTATTGCTGCGGTGCTCTCGTGTCGGACAACATGGATATTCACATTCACATTCACTCACAAAAAAACGCAACGTACGAATACGACGACGAGTATGCTAACTTATTCTACCGAGTTGTCATCCATATCGATATCGGTGCATGATGTTCGTTGTCTGCTGATGCTGAGCACCCGTTTCAGTTTCTCCTTTTGTTTTTGTTTCCGTTTCCTTCTCTTCAGCGTTAAAGTGCATCCGTTGTCCCGAGGATCGAACTAAGGCACCCCTGGCAGTCCACTGGACACGATTAGCTGCTGCTGCTGCTGCTGGTGGATCAAGTTGACCCGCGCTCGCTGCTGCTCCAACCGCTGCACCGTGGCAGTCAGATGGGAGTTCTCCACATACAGATCCTTCACCAGGATGTCGGCATTCTGCAGGCGCTGTGTTTGATCGGCCAGCATCGCGCCTTGGGTTTCGATGCGGCCGTGCAGATCATTGAGCTCCACTTGATGCTGCCTCCAGGATTCTAAACAGAACATATAAATTATTGGATTTCCCTTTCAAGTATCTCCTATTCTTTACTCACGCTGCATCATGGACTCTGAGTACTGCTGCTGCTGCTTGATGACATTCTGCAGATGGCGATTTCGCAGCTCCAATTGGTTCAGTCGCTGCTGAAGCGTTGGATGCGTAGTTCGCTAAGAGGTAAACATTCCATATTAATCAACATAACTCCCAAAATAAACCACATTCCCAGCTCACCGCATAAGCCTTCTCGAGCACGGGACGCGCCTCCTGCAACTGCTGCAGTTCCATGACCAAACCGTCGCGTTGCAGGCTCAAATCCTTGATCTGCTCCTTGAGCGACAGCTCGAAGAACTTGAGGCGCTTCAGCTCCTCCTTCAATGCCGACGACCTGCTGCACTTTTCGTGGCTAAGGCAAGATGTCTTGCTGCTGGATTCGAAGCTCTTGTTGGACGTCGTCGACGAGGTCTCACAGTCGGCGATCTCTCCCTCCGATGGAGCCTGCTGTGGACTCTGCGCCCTCTTGGGTTTGCTGATGGGCAGCGGAGCGGACTTGGCGGCCGAGACGTTTGTGGTGCCACTATTTGCGGTCGAGGGACCCGAGGCAGAGCTCTCGAAGGGTGTGGTGCTGAAGATGGATGTCTCCGAAGTGGTGAGGTTGTTGCTGTGCGAACAAAGCAACGGACAAGTTAAGGAAACCATCGTGAAAAGGTTTCATAAAAGGAAAAACCATAAGCTATTTCATATACAACCAAAACCAAAACCACAATATCAATAAGATCAAGCAAACTCAAATTCAAATCACGCCAAATCTCTAAGCCTGAATTTCAGACTCAGAAGAACCGAAATTTATGGAATTCAAGGGTCAAGTTTGTGCAAAAGAATTAGTCAGATGATTCCTTTTCTTGTTTAGTGTTTAATGAAAATGATGTCTTTAAAAGTATAAATTATATTTATTGAACGAACACATACACATAAACTTAAGAACTAAATTAGCTTAGATTAGACATGGTTAGATGTGCGGGACAAAAGCAAGATAGAAACATATATACAGTGCAAACATGGATTGTGACATGGATTAGGAACACACAGGATGCAGACACCAAGGACAAACACAGAGAGTCTTGCAATACTCACCGGCTGGCCGACTTGTGCGATGGTGAGCCTCCCAGCAGTTCGATGGCACTGGCGGCGGCATCCTCCTTGGAGTCGCCCAAGGACTTCGCCGGCTCCTGGATGGTGCTCTGCAGCCAGAGGTAATTGATGGGCGAGATGGTCGGGTTCTTTCCCCCTCGCCACTCAATTGAGCCGCCGATTCAGTGGTGAGTTCGCAGGCACCCGTGAGGATTTCCACGCTCTCGCCCAATCTCTGTCGCAGATCCTCGATCTCCGATTGCAGCGAACTGATTTCCTGGGCCTTCTCCTCCAGCATTTGCCGGGAGTTCGAGCGCAGTTGGGCTGCCTCCGCCTCCAGCTCCACGTACTGCTGCTCCAGCATATCGCGCTCATCGATGGGCGACAGGCGGCCGTCCTTGCTGAACTGCTCCTCGTACTCGCGCACCTTCTCCATCAGCTCGGTGAACTTCTTGTCGCTCTCGTGCTGCTCGTCCTCGTAGATCTGGCGCTCCTTCTCGAACATTTGCCGCTCGTCGCTGAGCTTCGACTGCCAGTAGTCCTCGCAATCCTCATAAGCGCGCTGCATTTGCTCGAGACTGGCTTCCAATTCCTTGGCGCGGCCTTCTGGCGTAAGAGATCTGCTCTCCTTGCTGGCCTTCAGTTCCGTCTCCAGTTCAGCCACGCGGAGCTTCAGGTTTGCCATCTCCTCATCCTGACTTTGACTTCTTTGCAGCTCGGAGTTCAAGGCCAACCAATCGCCGCTGTTACTCGCATCACTCTGCTCGCCTTCGGTGCACTTGCGCTGCTTTCCCAAGCGCGGACTCTCCTCCGTGAGATGCGTTTTGCTGGGGGAATCGCCGCGCCTCTTGGTCGCCGTGGCCGCCGCCTCCTGCTCCTCCTGTTTCTCCTGCTTCTTGCCCTTGGTTTTCGAGCGCATCAGTTCCACATTTAAGCTCTCTATTTCAATGGTCAGTTCGTCAGTCTTGTCGCGCAGCTGGGCGTTCTCCATTTGCAGGGCGGCCAGCTTCTCCATCATCTGGAGCATCTCCTCCTCCTTGTCCTCGCTGTGCCTCCGCGGCCGCAGAGGACTGTGCTCGGGAGTGCCACTGATGCTGGTTGGGCGTTGGGCCAACTCCTGGTTGAGCTTGATGTTCTGCTCGAGCAGCTCGGTGAGTTGAATGTGCGCCTTCTGCTGCTCCGATTCCAATTCGGAGTTCTCTGTTCTCACAAGTTCGAGTTCTGTTTTAAGGCGGATCTCCTCCTGTTCCAGGGACTTTAATTGCGCCTCCAACTTGCTGGTCACGCTGGTCCAATGATCGCGATCGTTGGTCATCCGCAGCGTGATCTCCCTCACCATGCTGGCGTGTCGCTGCTCCAGCTGCTGCACCTGCTTCTTGGAGTTGTCCTCCAGCGAGGCGTGCCGCTCGTCCACCTCCATGGCCATCATGGCCACCCTCTGGTTGGCCGCCTTATTATCAGCTCTCAGCTTCAGGTTCTCCTCGTGCTGCTGCCTGTAGGCCAGTCGGTAGTTACCCAACTCGGTGGCCTGCAGGGCAGCCATTGCACGCAGCATATTCGTTTGCTCCTGATCGGTTTCGAGGGCCCGCATTTCCTCCTCCATCGCCTTGGTCAGCTGCTGCAGGCTCACCTCCTCCTCCTCGTCGAAGCCCAGGATGTGCAGCAGGTTTCGGCAGTTGGGAATGCCGGCCAGCTCCCACGCATCGATGATGCTGTGCACAGAGATCGTCTCCAGCTGCTGGGGCGTCACGATGTCTGCAAATCATGGCATTTAGCATTTAGCGTGGGTTTGAAAAAAGATTCAGTTCGCCGTTGTATGTACACATTTACGTTATATAGCCCAAGATACCAGGTGGGTGTGGAATTGGAATTGGGATTGGGAGTGGGGGAGGTTGTGGAATGTCGAATGTCGATGGCGGAAGCGAAAAGCGCCGAAAGTTTGCTGTTTCTCATCATCGAAAAAGGTTCAACATGTTTCTTAATTTAAGAGTTTCTTTTATGGGTAAGCAACTATTGATTTTCTTTAAAACTATAATTATTTACTAGTTTAAATAGTTAATTAATAGGTGAACCAAATGAAATCTTAAGTGCATGAGTTGAAATACAAATATTATTGATTCAAACTCTTAGTTCAACTAATTTGTGAGCAGCAAAGGTAATTATACTTCTTTCCACTACATATTTCTTACAATAAATCATTAACGAGTTCCAGCTCTACTAAGGGTAGAAAATTTAGGATATGTGATTATACATAAAACGAATCAAATGTGCGGCTACAAAGGGTGCGATTAGATACCGAATGACTGGGGTGGTTTGGGGTTTCTTTTTCGGTTGGTGGGTGAGTGGGTTTTTTGGTTTTGACAATTTGCTTGAGCGCACAAACCTTTGCAACTTGACCAACGGCCGCCGTGGTAGCATCTCCGGTGCTCGGACGACGGTGCGGAATTGGCGGCCAGGTGATGGCCTGCATTGTGTACCGACAACAAGTGTTTTACTTTAATCATTGCTTCGAAGGTAATTTGGGATTGGGGGATTTTTGGGCTAACAAAAACAGTGGGTGGCAAAGGAACCAGGGCTAAACTGGAAATGGGATGGGTCCTTCTTCGGTGGTAACTTACCCAGGGATTCCACACTGCTGCTGTGCTGCGCTTGGCTCTGGATGGACAGCTGCTTGAGCTTCAGGGCAGCCGTTGGCGAGTTGGGCACTCCCGTGGAGGTGTTGTGCATCTTCGAGTGCAGATTCCTGCGCGCCGGCAGCGAGGCACATCGCTTCAGTTTGCTGCCGCTGGTGTGGACGGATCGAAGACGCCGACTGCCAGGAAGATCGCTCTGGGATGAAGAACGCTGCACCTGAGGAAAGTCAATATGAGAGGGTTTTAGGATTTTACATCATTATCTATCTAAGATTATGCTACACGAAGTATGCTTAAAAAACATAACTATCATTACAGAACGTTTTTATATGACATCAGCATTTTATTATTACGTTAGTCACTTTCCACTGTACCAGCACTCGGTAATTTTGATTCAGAAAAAAACTTCGTTTACTTTGCACTTTTGCTTACAGTGGCCAGAAGTTGTGTAGCCACTTTGTACGTGACTTCTTGACCGGCTCTTACCTGAACTCCCAGCTCGTCGCACCCATTGAGACTCCGCTGCTTCTGCTGCTGCAGCTGATCCTCGTCCGTGTTGTCCGAGTCCGTGACGGACAACTCGTAGATTCCCTGATGCGGCCGGGACCTCCGTCCGTACTTCTTGGTGCCCACAATGAGTTTGGGTGACACCTCGCGATCGGAGGACTCCGGCGGACTTTCGATGTATGTGCCGGCCAAGGGCTCATCTGTGATCACCAGCGAACGCTCTGCAAGATGCGACAAATACAGGTTAGTAGAGAACTGGAAGAGTTGCACGGATCTCAGGTGACTACCAAAACGAGCGGCTAACTTCTCAATGATCGGATCTGATAGTGGTCCGCCTGATCGGCGGTAATACAAGCGCGTTCCCATTTCGATTGATACTGAACCGCCGAGCTGAATGAGGCGCCTATTTATGCAGGATAACTAGGTAGAAGGATAAAGTGCTGCAGGATCAGGTAGACAACAGAAGTTGTCAGTAGGGTCATAAAAAATTAGCATTGCATCTTTTGGTTTTATGACCACCAGCTGCCAACGTGCTAATCCGCGAGCTGATTATCATATTCAGACCCGGCCATATCCTAATTTGGCCCAGAAATTTCCAGGGCAGATAGGGAAACAACTGTGAGGCAGACATATTTATCCTTAATCAGTATAAGTGTGCCCTCCCTTACAAATTAGACCCTATATTCTGGCAAAGGCTTTAATATTTAAGCTGCTATAAGAATTATCTGTTCAAATCGCTGTGAATCAAATTAGGTATGTAATATTAATCAGTGCTGAATTAATCTCGCAATAAAACAGCTTATGACATAATACAAGTTTGCTTGAAATCGAGTAAATATGCCAAGCAAATTCATATGTTCTTCTGATGGAATGCTCATAGTTTTGATATTATGGTTTCAGTTTGATCCAGACCTAGATCAGAAGTACTAAAGAAAGAGCACCTTTTTGGTTCAATCTCCCTGTCAAAATTGAATTACTATCTCTAATAACCGCCTTTGCCAACAATCTGTAATTATCTGATGTTGCTTGAAGGGTACTTAAATCGCAATTATAGATAGCCGCACGATATTGTTTTATGGGAACCCGCTTTCCCAGCTAATATTGAAATATAGCATAGGGTATTCCCAGTTTGCTTCCCCAATTGAATGTGTTATCTCACCCATAAATCCCGATGACGTCGTGCCGTCGAATTCGGAGCCGAGAAAGTTGAGCAGCGCCTCCTTGAACTGCCCAAAGGACACGCCCAGTTGATGGCTGCCGCCCAAGCTGGCGATCAGTGCGGATCCTTGATCCCGGAGCTCCAGCAAGGAGCACAGTTTCAGCAGAGATTTCTCGTCCAGAAGCCCACATTGCGTCTCACAACTGCGAAACATTTGATAGAGCTTCTGCTCGTAGGGATCGGCCGAAACCTCCATTATCCGTATTGGCCGTACCCTGGAGGATTCAGTTTGCAGCCGGTGAAATCGATACAGGACTTAATTGCGTTTTCCGATGCCGTTGTGTTTTCTTCTTTTTCTTTTTTGGGGAAATCTACGGGCGCAGTGAGGGGTCGAAAACAAAAGAGTGCGTGGGTGGCGGAATAGCGCGTGTTTCTCGGACTGCGGGGAGCCAGCGGAGCTACCTAATCTTCTAATCTATGATATGCACTTAAGAACGAAACATAAACACTCGCGTTTTTGCGGTTTTTCGGGGATAGCGTAATTTCTGGCGAGTTGATAAAAAACAATGCAGTAATTCCGAGCACGGTGGCGCCTCCTGGCGAATAGTTAGTGAACATGGAATGGGGATGGAACTATTGGAGTGTCTGCCGCGCAAAACCAGGAACAACTATCGAACGAAAAAATTAAAATAAATGGATATAAATAAATAGAATAAATGGGCTCACAAATCATTGCTGTTCTTTTTCTTTTGTGCCTTTCGTTTAATAATAATAAATTTTTGGGGATAAAGGGGGTTACAAATAACTTTCGTATGAACACTTCTCCTTCCAAAATTGTTTTACATTCAAGAACTTTATAATGCATTTCTCGTTTATTTGTGAAAGTTAACATCTTCGATTCGATGCTATGGGAAGTAAGAATTCCTAAAATTATTGACTATATACCACTAATAATACTTGCTGGCATTTCCTTACCGAACGTATTCTCATCTCTTTGTCTAAATTGATTTAAATAAAGTTTGTTATATTTAAAAATGCTTGTTTCGTTGAAATATTTAAAGTGTTGACTAACGCTTCAACTGAACTGCTTACCTTCAAGAAAAAACAAGCAGTGCAACAACACAAACTGAAAACAAAACAAAAATAAACAATAAAAGTATGTGCACGGACCAATTTTCGTTAAATATTAACCAATTGTATCGCATTTTTTAAAACAACAGTTTTTAGTTAAAAACGCTTAATGACACGTTGCTATCGCACTATCGATAACCGCCCTCGGGAGCCGTCGCCAGCAGGCCCACGGCCGATAGTGTTATCGATTATTTTGCAGCACTAATAAATTCCATTTGCAAGCTAAAAAGAGAAAAAATAAAAAATATCTTTGATCGCAGCCAGCGAGTGGAAAACCTGACCGAAAATCATGTGTCACCGGTGCCAACCGACAACGCCGAGGGATTAACTGAGTTGGTTTACTCGCGTCCAGTCCAATCGGCATAAGGCTCCAGTGCACTTCGAAATCCGAGACTTCCGAGTGGCGATCCAAAGAAACCGCAGAGTCGGAACTCTTTTTCGTTTATTTGCATCACGGCGCGGCGGGATCAGGGGACATCCCGTCCGGCTGCGATGGCCATGCACTCGTACATGCGCCAGGGATCGGGATCCGGCGGAGGAGCAGGCACAGTGGCAGCTGGAGCACCGCCACTGGCCAGTCCGGACGAGATGCACGGCTTTCTGAAGGATAAGCAGGCGTGGGAGCACGCTATCGCCCTGTATCAGGGTCCGGATCCCCTCGACCACTGGTACAACTACATCTGCTGGTACGAGAACCATGCGCACAGCGATCCGGAGCTAAAGTTCCGAGAGACGCTGGAGCGTTGCCTCACGGTCTACGAGCACAACGACTACTATCGCCAGGATGTGCGACTCGTTCGGCTGTGGCTCAAGTACATTGCCATGCAGACGGATCCGCTGCACTACTACCAAGTGCTCTTCCAGCGAGGAACCGGTCGCCAAGTGGCCGCGTTCTACATTGGCTGGGCTGCCTACTACGAGTCACGCGAGGATTTCAAGGACGCCGAGGCGGTCTTCAACTTGGCCTTCCAGGAGAAGGCGCAGAGCAGCTCAGAGCTGCAGCACGCCCACACAAAGTTCACCTATGCCAGGTCGCTCTACCACCAGCGACAGCAGCAACAGCAGCAGCAGCAACAACAGCAGCAGCATGCCCAGCCGGATCCACTGCAGCAACTGACGAACTATACACAGCAGCAGATGCCGCAGAGCTATCCACAACAACACCGTCCCCAGCCATATCAGCAGAATGCCTACCAGCAATATCATCCGCAGGCGCAGCAACATCCAGCCAACCAACAGCATCAGCCTGCGCCACAGGCACATCCGCCGCAGGAGCAACAGCAGCCGTATCAGGCGCACTACCAGGAGCAGCCACGCTATGGGCCACATCATGCGACTCAACCGGCAGCAGCTGCAGCACCACCAGCCCAACCAGTCCAGCAGCAACCGCAATATGCGCCAGTTGAGGTAAGTATTTTTTACTTTAATTTAAGAAGATGTTTGATAAACTCTCTTATCCTTTTTTAGCCACAATACGCACCAGCACAGCAGCCACAGATGCCGGCACAACAGCCTGCAGCAGCAGTGAATCAACAAGTGCAGCAACACAATGGCAGTGGCAATGGCAATGCAGCCCCCCAAACGAATACCCCTCCCGTGACAAGCGAAGTGGCTGGCCTGCGTTTGCCGCGCAATTTCCACGCTTACGGGCGCAACAACCACGAGACCTGGAAGCCAGCGCTGACGCTCGAAGAGCCCGACGATCCGTCGCGGGTGTGCCACTATGCCAAGCAGCTGGTCTATCCGCCCGGAGCAGGCATCGAGTACAGTCCCGAGGAGATACTAGCCCGCAAATTCAAGAAGTTGATGGAGCAGAAGACCAAGCCAGCGGAGCCGGCACAGCAGCCAGAGCAAACTCTTTATGATTCCTACGAATCGCAGACATCCTACTACATGACTGCTGTGGATGGAGCGCTTTACGGGCAGAACAACAGCGGTGGTCAGGAGAATACGGGCGAGGAGGACGAGGACAATGAGGCTGAGGATGGCGAGGAGGAGGAGGAAGCAGGCGTGGACAATGAGGACGAGGAATCCGATGAGGAGGAGGACGACGACGAAGAGGAGGAGGATGAGGAGCAGAACGAATCCTACGCCAATGGCGTGCAGTTCAGTGCGCAGACCACTTTCGAGCAGGAGAACCGCTCGATTAAAATCAAGTTCAGGAAGGAGCCCAGCAGCACCTACAGTGCCTACACCATCGAGAATGTCTACCAGCAGCAGCAACACCACCAGCAGCAACAGCAGCATCATCATCATCAGATAATCCAGCAGCAGCAGCAGCCGCCGCAAGCAGCTCTTCATCCTCAGCCAGAGCCTGCGCCCGCTTCTCCGAATCCCATCCAGCGTCAGCGAAACGGCAGCCACCACCACTTCCATCCCTACATGCTGGGCCAGACGTCGACGCCGAAGAGCGAGGCGAACGGCTACCGAAGGGCGCGCACCAAAGTCAAACGCAGCAAGTTCCAGCCGGATCTCTGCAGCAACAGCAACTCGGCATCCTCGGCGGCCGATGTGGTCACAGCCAGTTCGAGTAGTGTGGCGTCTGGAGCACCGGGAGCGTACAATGACAATGCCAACTTCTCGTTCTCCAGCGCCACCGCTTTGGATAATTCCAATAGCTCGCTGGCCTTGGAAGTGGGCAGACTCAACTTCCGCGACACTTCGCAACAGCATATCCTCCATCCGGTCAACAAGACCCTACAAACGCACAACAACAACAACAGCACCAGCAACAATAACAATGGCAACAGCACACTGGCCGACTTCTCCACGTTCCAGGAGAACTCGTACTTTGCCACCCAGCACGACACGGAGGCTCAGGAACGGCGGCTCTCGAAGGCCGTGGAAACGATCGCGCGCCACTTGGCCAAGGAGGCCATCGATCCGTTCAACAGCGAGCTGTGCCGAGCCTTCCTCGCCAAGCTGGACTTCCCGGGCGATCACGATGCCCATGCCAGCTACAAAATCGTGCAAACGCCACTGCCAAAAATATCCAACACTCGCACACTGAACGTCCTCGAGGGCGTTACCTTTAACATTGACAAGGAGGTGGGCCGCGGATCCTACGGCTCCGTGTACAAAGCCACTGACTCGCGCACCGGCAATGTGGTGGCGCTCAAATACCAGAAGCCCCCAAACACCTGGGAGATTTATATATGTGATCAGGTGAGGAATCTTGCAATATATTTATGAATATCTTAACTTAAAATAAAACTCTCTTTTTTAGGTGCTTAAACGCATCAAGGAGCCGGAGGTGTTGCCCGGCTTGATGGACATTTCCACGGCGATCATCGCCCCGAATGCCAGCCTCATAGCCACCGAGTTCTCGCCATTTGGCTCGCTGCTGGACATCAACAACAAGATACGGCAGGCCACCACGAAAGTGATGCACGAGTCGCTGGTGATGCACTTCTCGGCGCAGATCTGCAACATCGTGGACCACCTGCACCGCCAGCACATCATCCACGCGGACATCAAGCCGGACAACTTCCTGCTAATGCGGGTGCCCAATGTGGACAGTGCGCTGCCGTCCCTGCGTCTGATTGACTTTGGCTGTGCTATCGATATGACGCTCTTTCCGGACGCGGAGCGCACCAAGTTTAGAAAGGTGGTGCAAACGGATGGCTTCACCTGCATCGAGATGCAGGAGGGACGCAGCTGGTCCTACGAAACCGATCTCTTCTGCATCGCGGCCACGGTGCACGTCATGCTATTCGGCGACTACATGCAGCCGCAGAAGAAGGGTTCGAGCTGGGAGATCCGACAGAAGCTGCCGCGCTACCTCAAGAAGCATGTGTGGACCAAGTTCTTTGGCGAGCTGCTCAACATGCAGGCGGACAAGCTGCCCGAGCTGCAGGAGATGCGGCTGATCTTCGAGGAGGAGGCCTACCGCATGGACTCCGAACTCCAGAAGCAGATACGCACCCTATCCAACATCCTGCATCGACGATAACCAACCTATTCCTATTACTTTTTATTACGTATTTTTAATCGCTCTGTTGACCAAGTCACCCGATAGTTTGTTTATCTTTTTAACCTAGCACCATTTCCACTCTACTAAAAACAAATCTGCGCCAGGAAAATTCCCTCTTTGGTTGAGTTTATTTGCCTCTTCTGGCCACAAAGAAACTTTCTACTTTAGGTTAGTTCTCCGACAAGCAAAACCTCTTGCTTTACCTAAATATTTAATCCTTCTGTACTTTATTTATTGTTTCGATGCCAAAAAAGAAAACTGAACAGGAAAGCGGAGGAGCATATAGTACGCTACTAAATTCAAAATCTTTGTAAATATTAGACGACAGACTCGATCGAAATGAAAATTGGCGAATTGAGTTTGTGGAACAAGACCTGGATTTAAAATGTAATTTTTTGTGTACAGCAAAGAACAACAGTATGTGGAAGGCAATGTAAAAATGAAAGGTACATAAGTTTAAGATTAAATCCTGCTGTACTATTGAGTAATATAATAACAAAAAGAAACAAAACTTTAAATGATAGTGAATAAACTGACGAAATGTTGAACGCAAAAGCCATAAAAATTGATTCGAGAAAAAGGAAAGCAGCGCGGTGGTAACCCAGTTTCATAAATCAAATGCCAAAGTGGCAAACGTATAATGTGTGTTGCAGGCAGGCAATTGTCAATTAAGTGGGGGCATGCAACAAGTAACAGCAAGAGCAACACAAGCAGCAGCAGCAGCCGCATCAACAATGGTGCGCTTGACCCACTTTTCCTTTTTGCCAGTCAACCGAACGGCAAACAATTTCCACCAGGCGACTGGAAAAAGTTGCAACTTTTCATGCAACACACACACACTAACACACACATTGATGGTTTGGAAAAGCTGCAACAGGCGAACACAAAGTCAAAGTCGACGCCTGCGCTGCGGCTTTTTGTTGCTAGTTGCTGGTTGGTTGTTGCTGGTTGGTTGTTGCTGTTGCTAGTTGCTAGTTGCTGCTGGCTCGTTGCCTGTTGCCTGTTGCTCGTTCGCCAAGTGAAAGTAAAGTGGGACAAATGCAATTATTATTGCATCTAGTAACCGACTTAGAAGTCGTGGCTCGAAACTGCAGCGTTTGCAGTTGGAAAGTTGCTCTGCCGGCGTCGCTTTTACACAATATTTTATTTAATCAAATTGCAAAGAGAAAATTGCAGCAGGCAGTAGGCAGTACGGATTGGCGAAAAACTTTCAATTTTTTTCTGTGTCGACTGCAACGTCAGCTGCAGCATTAGATATATTTTGCGGATTGTTTTGCATGCGATAAATTAATGAATGTGCCCCAGTTTCGGTGCTTTGGGCATTGAGTGACAAAAGAAGTTGCCGAGCGGAGCGAATGACAATGCGGCGTTTATTAGATCACTGGGGCACGCCGATCTCGATCTCGAACACTCAATCTGAATCTCATTCCCGATCGCCGCCCAACCCACAGGCCAAACAAACAAAAAACCGAGCTGACAAAAAAAAATAAATAGAAATGACTAGAAAAAAAAAAACGTTAATAGATCAGTTAAGTGCCGAGCTGCGACAGTTAACTGGTTTCTAATTAAGGGGGCTAACGGTATTCGGGTCTCGGCTCAAGGAAAGTCTTAATCCCAGAAAAGTTGCGGCTTTTTTAAGTACCCACCTCCAATTAATTCGGGCTCTTCAATTTCACCTGCTAGTTGGTTAGCTAAAGCGGATTTGTCAGGATTTTAAATCCAGATTTGCGCTAATTGTGAAGAGGTGGTTAGACTTTTTTTAGAATTTATTAACCAATTAAAGCAAATAATCATGAATTAAAAAATGTTCATTGGTATTTTTAGAAATGAATGGTGCTCTGTATTTTTTAGAGAAAATTCTAAAAATCTTCAATTTTTTAATTATTTCAAAATGTGTTTGAATTCCATTCGAATCATGTATCTAAAAAAATCAATTGGTATTTTTAGAAACTAATGTTCAGTTAATTCAGAATCCATTTATTCTTTTAAATATTTTAAACCATGTTTTTGAATTTGTATTTTTTTTATTTTTTATTTCTGAGCTCAATTAAAAGTAAACTTAAGTTGTGCGAATATTCTGCAAGTTAGGAAACATGTCTCTTGGTTCTCCCCCAATGAAGATCACTCAATAATGACCAATGGCTTTGCCCAAGAGCAACGTTAAGAACTTTAGTAGTTTGTGGTAAGGAGCGACTGACTCACTCTGGGAATTTAGGGTGGAATGCGGACTACCAGTTGGTTAGTCATTCCTGTGACTAAGTGGACCTCTTCTTCGCCACCTCTCCCACTCCCTGCAGAATGGAGGACCTGGAAGGGTTAGGAAGGGGTTTCCACTGGGACCCTAGGCTCACCCAAGTGGCAGTTTGCCGCAGGCGGAATGCATCAGTGGGCACACACAGACCCATTGAAATATACATGTTCAGAGACCAAGTAAAAACCCCCTTCGGATACCGATGGTCTGCCCCTCGATTGCCACGCAGTGTTGGCCATTTGATTGTCATGACCAACTTTTCACTGCCGCCCCGTGTTGTTGTTGCTGTTGCTGTTCAGCGGCAGCCGCCAATATGCAACAACATGCAACAACTGTTCGCAAATTGCACGACAAAGCGAAAACTGGGAAAATAGTTAAGTAATTTGCAGTGGAAAGCAGTGGTGGAGAAATTCGATTTTCTTGCTTTCTGGCTGTGGCAGTGCATCTTGCATCTTGCATCTTGCATCTTGGCACACATAATGCCGCCACGTTGCATGTTGCACTCGCCGTTGCCGCGATCCACATCCGTTTGCGCTGTTGCTGTTGCCGCATTAGAAAGTTGCAACTGCAACTGTCATGGGCCGTTTGCTGCAGCTTTTCTTTTTCCCACTCGCCGAATTGGGGCTAACGTGTATATGTACAGTGCACACTATGCAACTGCAACAACAACAGCAGCAACAGCAACAACAACAGCAACAGCATCCCACCGTTGCCGCCGCCGCAACTTGTAATGAGTTTTGACCTCATAAAATCTTTGGCGAATTTTCCACTGGCATTTTCTCTTCTCGAAAATACTTTGCATCTCGCCGAGGGAAACTCGAATCGGATGGAGAAACTTTTTTGGCTGAAAATCTGACAAACGTGAAAAGGAAAATTCTTAAGTGAAAAGCGATATCTACCATCCGGTAACTGACCCACTTAAATTTTATCATTTAATTGACAGTTAATAACAAGATTTATGGGGCCACTTATACAAAATGTTTATTTTGATAAGTCATTTAAATAATAGGATAAAATTGATGATATTTTGCATGAATTATTATAATTTCAAGCTGGAAAACGTGGTTTTTCATAATCAACCAATACTAACTGACCTACAACAACTTGATAACCGATTTGATAAGATAATAGTTGATCTTGTGTGATAATGGTTTTATGTGGTAATTTCTTATCTATAAATTCAACCTAACATTATATAACATAACATTTCATAAATTAGTGGGTTTGTTATTATGAATCATTCCCGTTCCCCAGTCATAAATAACCAAACCAAGAATCTGGATTCCCACAAATTCCTCTGATAGTTGAACACATAAAAGTCATAATGAATTATGAGTTAAATGGGTTTTACTATTAAGCGAAAGATAAGGAAATCTGGGAATGACCAGATTTTTAATTGACCCTAAAAAACCTTTGACTTGTCACAGCTTCATGTCCTTTGGTTCGGTTCACTACCCTTGAATTTGCAAACGTCCTGCAAAACCTCCTGCGAAATCTATTTCCATCCATCACTTAAATGCTTACGCATCTCCGACGCATTGTAATTTAACCGCGATTATCGGTCTGGGGTCAAGTGGCCATGTGACTTTGACCGAGAGTCTGATTGCCCGTTTGCCCGATGTCCTGTGACCTCGGCAAGTGCATTCAACTGAGGCCGCCATGTGGCGACGCCCGCAGGTCGAGTCAACGGCCGTAATATACCCACAAAAAAATACGAGAAATCCTGGCAAAAAAGCTGAGCCTGTGTGACTGGGCCGAGAGTTCGTCGAACGGTCCTTTCGTAATGCCCTCCATCGAGGATTGAGTACCGAGAACCAAAAACCAAAAACCCGAAAACCGAGGAACAAGGACCGACGTCGACCGCTGTCATTGCACTGCCCCGCCCACCGGCACCTGCCGCCGCCGACGCCCACTTCCGTCGACAGTGAAAACAGAAAGCCGAAAGGTTATTATAACAATAAGGAGCAGCCAATGTCTGGGCCCCAACCACTTCTTAAAATTCTGCACGAGGCGAGTCTAATAACCTTTCCCTTTCGCCGAACAACTCCACCAGACGACGCCCACGCTCAGATATATATATACAAATGTCTGTATATATTATATATGGACCTCGAACGACAGTAAAAGTCATCGCCATCGAGGTTGAGACATCTTCTTCCTGCAGCTCCTGTTTCAGCCTTATGTAAGTCCTGGCCAGGCTAATGAAATCGTCAGACTTTTGCTGCCAACTTGATTATATGATTGGTAATAGATATTCTTGAAGGTTCTTATTGTTTTTTGGTTTATAAATAACACGAAGCTCTATAACTAATATAACTATGAGTTAAGATAGAGCTAAATTTATAAAACTGTTATGTATGAGATCCTTTTCAGTAAAAAGAAATAAGGTACGAATATTGAAAAATAACCTTATTCAGTCTTCTTAAATGTTGGGCAGAATATTTATTTTTTTAGGTGTCTACATGCAAACTATGTATCCTGGCTAAAGAGTAGAGTGCACAAAGGGCTGAAATACTGCACCACTGAAGCGTAGCGTGCACCTGAGAGAATGAGAACGTGAGCAATAACGTCCAGACGGGCAGACAATTATCGGGGGGAGAGCAGGGTTAACAGATATTTAAATGGTGACACAGGCACGGTGGTCATAAATCAAGCTTTTGTTAACCAACACTAGTCCGGTGAAGAAATTAATAAAAAAAAAATCAATTTTCATTTTAAATATAAAGCATACGACTAGTGTGACATGCACTACATTTATTCTTAATTATTTACTTAGCAAAGCTCTTCATGTTATGAAAGTGTAATGAAAATTTTAATAAATTGTGAGTATGTTATTTTGAATTGTTTGTTTATTTTGTGCCACTGTGCCACGGTTGGTCGCACAGGAATTGCGGCAGACGGCAGGCGGTACGTGGTATATGGTACATGGTAGATGGTAGTCGGATCCAATAGGGTAGGGTGTAGAATCAGGAGGAGGATGATGGCGTACGGGAGGAGGAGGAAGAGTTCCCGGCAAGTGAACGAACTGCTTGTTGCGTGTGTGTGCGTAAGTGCGCGTTCGTTTTTGTGTGTGTGTGTGAGTGCGAGAGGGTGTTCGATGGCGATGACGAAGATGTGGACGTGGAATTGGATGTTGCTTCTGGTCCCGGGTCCCCTGCTCCTTCCCCCGAGTCCTCATCCCCCCGCTCGGCTTGTTCTGCCCTGCCCAAATGTCATTGCTCGCCGGCGACGCCAGCCGAAGACTTAACCTTGAAAAGTTTAACTTCACCATAAAGGACGAGCGATAAGCGGATGGGGAGGATGAAG